TTGTTATTTGTGATGCCCAAAAATTTTCCAAAGTCTTCACTTCGAACTCCATTTTTGCAGCATGATCATTTTGCATGTCAATTATTCCCTCCTTAAAGGATCTTCGTCAGGCATATTGCTTAACTGAAACAGAAACGGGTTCCTTATCCAGCAGTCGCTGGCTTCCAAATTTCCTGCAGAGAAATACCCATCAAAGGCATTTAATAGCTGTTCAAGGTGAATGGCAACTTCTGGAAATAGTGACTCATGTTCAACTTCTTCCAGCAATGGAAACCTAGCCAAATTTCCCTTCTCAATATTTCTCAACCACAAAGGAATCTTAGCTTTGAAAGAAGCCAATTTTTCATGTGCAATAACCACATTTTTATTACTTCCTTGGAGGGAAATATTTAGTTCATTTAAGTGAGTAAATATGTCAGTCAAGTATGCTAGCATTTGTACAAGCTCTGGGGAATCAATGAAGAAAAGAGATCCAACTTTTGATTGTTTAAAAATGTCTTGATCTCCTCACGAAGTTCAAATATATGCTGCAAGGCACATCCACGGGATAGCCATCTCACCTCCATGTGGTACAGTAGAACCACGTGTTCAGAATCCATGCTTTCACAAAACGCTTGAAATAATTGATAATGATCAGTTAACGAGCCTGACTGTTAGATATACACAAATGTTTCCCTTTAAGTTAATGCAAGAGTTATGATTTAGATAGTTATATAGTGCAAGTGTTAAATTTAGTTATTTACTGAAGTGATAGTTTATCGCAAGTTTGTTTATGTAACTGTTTACAAATCATACATTGTGTAGTTCATTGGTTATGAATTGGTGATTGTTGTATTGTTGCATCATGTTACTAGAACCTTATAAGTGTTTCTTGTTGTCTTAATTATTATTGCATCATAATGTCTCATAGAGTATGGAAAATTCTAGGCCTCTGTTGGGGTATAAATATGCATCCTAAATGTAGTTTGATAAAGATAGAACTAGACTGCATAATTGTGAGTTTAGCCAAAAAGAGTATATAGTGGCTAATTTTAAGTGAAATTATCACAGGCTTTATTGTAATAACAGAGTAGAGAAGAACAATTTGTTTTGTCAATTGTGTTCTAAAGTAACTGAAACAGGTTGTGTGGACTTCGATGAAAAAGAAACAATTATTTAAAGCTCTGGATACAACTTTACTAGCCAACTGTATAACAAACATTTGTATGATTGACTTGTTTTAATATATTATTGTAAAACAAAGGGGCTGTGTGCTGTTTATTTATTTTTTGTTGAAATTTATCACAAAGAAGTCACAGACACATACTGTAAAGAATCTGGCCTATACATAACACCTGACAATGCCCATTAATCAATTATCAAATTCCATTAACTGCTTACCTCAGAACAGGTAGGGTCACCAAGAGGTATTAATCTGGAATTATTATATGACCTTTTATTAAAGTATTGTTATGCAATTGCATCCTGCTTAGTTTGAATTTACACTATCAAAAATTTCATGCTTACTTATAAAATACTTACATATCTGACAGTTTTCAGTGTTTTGTAAAACTTATGATGCTATTTAAATAAATGCATCAACTATTCATTATATTTGATCATAGGATTTGGCTGAATATTCAGTATCTAGCTGTAACAATATCTATTACATCTATATTTCAATGGACTATCTTATAAAGATGGAACTTGAGAAGGCTCTTGAACTGTCAACTGATATGTAATAAGGCCCAAAAACATTTTTATTACCACTTGAGATGCACATATATGCTTGGTGGCCCTTTAGTGGTTAAAACATTAGTTTGAATTTAGCTATTCTCTCAATTTTTACCTATTCTAAATACTTTTAACATCTCAGAGTACTGAGAATTCTAAATATGTTTCAAGTTAAAAAACAACTTAGATATTCACTTTTACTCAAAACTACAATAACTATGAACCTGGCTTCACAAACAACCTGGCAAAACTCAAGCAGTCTGCAAGATTGAAGTCTTTACAATCTAATAAAGTAAGAACTGAGACATTTCGCATTTGATTTTCAGCAGCTTAATTTATAAGGTGAGACATCTATTCAAACCACACCCAGTGTTAGTTTTTGATTTTTTTTGTGGAAAATTTACACAACTGAGAAGTATAGTTCTAGTTAACCCTCTTTGTACAGGTATCCTTTACTATGCATGTCACGAGGTTTTTAGTGACTTACATTCAAAATTTAATTAAACTACTATTTGTCTATGTTATACCAATTAATATAGCATAAAATCGTACCTAATAATCCATATTTTAATAGTACATAAATTTTAAATTCTTAATTTTATGAGGCAATATTAATAAAAATCCTGAATCTCCCCTAGTGTGAGAAATGTGACATTTCTCCTCTAGACATCCCCTCTTCCCTAATATATTCACCACCCTTCCAATAAGTATGAAATTTAATGTAAATTACTCACTATCAAATCATCATCGCTCCAACAAAGTATAATTTTATAGCTTTCAATCTTGTTTGGTTACACAACCATCAAATAGAAAATCAGAACCCTCTTGCCACACCCACCTGTAACATCCTCTCTTTCAGGATTTGTGAATAGTTCTCTCTTATGTTTAATACTACATTATTTATAACCAATAGAAAGCAAAGGTTTTCATATATCAAATGATTTATCATATTACATTATTTTCTGAACAGAGAATTGTCCATTTCTCTTTTAGTTCAAGCTTTGTTCCCACAGGAAACATATTGACCAGCTTGGATGAATTTGCAATGGCTCTTGTTGCATAGCTAGAAACCCAGAAAAATTATGATGGATATGGTATATTGCCTGCTTTTTTGCATGTTATTATTTTATGTTCTTTGGTGCATTATTTAATTAAATAAAAATTATTTAGTACACTACTACCATTAGTATAATAAAAGTAGGATTAAGTGTCGTCAACAGCAAAAAAAAAAAAAAGGGTCTAAGTAAGTACTTTAATTCATGTTTTTCATGTGTATTCTTTACTTATTATTAAAAAATAACTAAAATTTAAAAATAGTAATGTCTTTAGGTTAGTTAAGGTTAGATTAGGTAAAATAAATAATAATTAAAAATTTTCAGGAGGCACACACATGAGCAGCTCAGAGTAGCTTGTGAGTAATGTAATTTGATAGTGTAACGTGAGACATAATTTTCCATAATGGCGCAAATAGTAGTTAGACATGGTTCAAAGGACAATAAAACAATAAAATTTAAATATAAATAATTGTATACTGTTACGAGATTAAAGCTATTTAGAATAGATAAATGTAGTTACATGTTACAATTTGAAGTCATTCTAGAAAGAAAAAAAGGATCATTTTGATTTTTTTTTGGTGGTTACGAGGGTCAGTCAAATTGGCCAACCTTGTATAGAGTTAGGATATAGAAAATAACAGATAAAATATAAAGCTTTGCTGAAAACAAATGTTTGAAAAGTATTTAGGAGGTTTTAGAGATTAGGTAAATGAAATTTGAGATTTTTGGGCCGAAGAATAGTATTTTTAATCATAACAGGAAAATCATTTTGCACTCGTACTAGTAACAAAACAGACTTGATATATTCACAAACAAATCTTTAGTAAAAATACTTCATGGAAAAAATCTGATTTTTTGCATACAAAAAATTTGTAATGTTTCCCAAAAGTCTACCATATTTTGTGAAGATACATCAAAAGTTATAGTATAAATACTAAACGAGTGCAAGTGTGCATACAAACTCCGTATTTTATACTGAGCCCATTGCGAAAGGGTTAAAGAAGAGCAAGAGCTTATTTTGAAACTACTCACCTCTAGTAAACTGATTGTCCCATTAATATTATTATGGTAGTAATCCAGTGGAATTTGGCAGGACTCCCCAACAGCCTTTAGAGCAGCAAAGTGAATGACATATTCAAGTTTATGCTGTAAAGGTACAAGTTAAACTGGTATGAAGCTGTTGTATCTTGCTCACATAATCACAATCCAGCACACTATGTATTAACTGGGAAAGCTTTTTAAGATTTAGTTAAATATCACTATATTTCTTAAAAGGATTTTGAACTTAAATGTTTAGCATCTATCTTTTTAATCCTCTCTCGTTTAGAGAAACTTAATGAATTAAGAGAAGACTCAAAAATTTAATAAAATTGTTAACTTTAACGAAATACATACTTAAAAGAAAAAAATTCATCTTATCTGCATGCAGTAAGCATTTGAAAGGTTGCAAATGTATGAAAGTTTCCCCTCCAAAAAAGTATATACATGCTTTTAGCAGTAGGTGTGCACCAAGGAGTATGTATGTATATACATACAAATTTTTTTAAAACCTAAAAATAACTTATTCAAATACAAATTTTAGTGCAAGATAAATTCATGTTTATAATATAGACAGCAAGTTAAAAAATAAATTTTATAGTAATATTCTATTGACATTTTTAGTATATTATACAAACATTGTTTCTTTTATTTTCTGTAACACTGAAATGCAAATTAGTAACAATGTGTTATATGTTGAAATATACAAAACATCTCTTTCAAAATAAAGTAAAAATATCCTATATAAATATTTATTAAACTATTAGTATACGCCTCCTATAGTTGATAACATACCTTACAAAAGATGTTTTCCAGACCTTCTTTATCCAACAAGTCCACTTTATAGAATGTCAGAGATTTTCCTGTTAACTCTTGTACCCTTCTTAAACTTTCAGGCAAGAAACCATCTTTACCTGTAAATTTGAAATTAGTAGTTTGCTTAATAAAAATTACCTAAAAATCCTATATAAACCAAATGAATAAATATGTACTTAACTTGCTGAATTGTTTAGGAGTTTAGAATAAACCAATAAATAATTACTTTGCTGTAGCATTAAAATGGAATTTTTTTCAATCAATGTAAATAGTCATGGTTAGTAGCCTATATAATCATCAAAGACTACTGTAAATACCTGCATATAGTTCACACTTTTTTCTAAAATTTTTGGTCTCAAATGTGAAGTGTGCACTATGAGAGGGAACAGTATTCTTCCAGCATTTTTCAGCTGAAATTTTTAGTCCAAATGTTGCCTCCACCCATCTTATATTTTGACATAATTATCATTTAATTGTTGCTGTTGAATCACTGAAAGTCAAAAAAAGAACCATAACAAAGAGGATATGCATGATATTAAAAACAGATAGATACCTCATATGCTTTTATCTTTTTAGGTTTCAATTCATACATGTATAAGGAGTTCATTTTGTCAACCATTAAGAACTGCACAGTTTAAAAGTTAGTATTTACTAATAATGATCAGTCAAAACCTTTTTTCATTTTAGGGAGCTTTAATTTGTGCTGGGTCATAAGATGATTTTACTATCCTATGCTACAATACATTCATAGTAACATTCAATCATAGTCACACTCCTCTAATTTATGCACAGGGCATTGTTTAAAAACATGTACACACAAATTATAAGTGATCATAAGTTCAGTCTTTATTTGATCACTAAGTGATACAGTTAATTAGTTGGCAATTGTATTCTCTCACATGTACACATACAATTATTAATTAACACAACAGTAAACTACACACTACTAAAAGGAAGATCAGCTGTTAGAATTGCTCTATGTACTATACATAGGTATATTAATCTTTACAAGTATGTGAGACCAAAAAAATATATACTGTGCACTATAAGCGGGGTCGCACAATACACAAGTCTTTAAAGCAGTTAGTAACTAATATTTTTTTATTACTACATACTAATCAGTATCCTACACTCTGAAAAGGACAATTTCTTTAGTGTTAGTAGCTGGGATTCAATTCTGGGTCTTCTAGATACAAAGGTTGGTGTGCTATTCACTCATCTAGGGTTTACCCTATTAGAAGTTGAATTAACACTTACTACAAAAATGTCTTCAAGAGGTATCCAGGTTTTGCTAACATTATGCTAAGTTGCCAGTATTCTTAATGAGGTATATGCAAAATGCTTCTTTTATGTTTCTGTTTATGGTTAGCACAACAGACACAGGATTAAATCCTGGCCACTACCACTACAGAAACAGTCCTTCTCAGGACTTCCATGAAAACAGCAGCAGATTAATAGCCAAAAAAGATACAAGTTAGGTAGTAAATAGTACCTAAAAATAAAAAAGTATAGTATGTAATTAATGATCATATTCTAATGAACATATAAGATATTGAACATGACAAAGATTAATATCTTATCACCTCAATCTTACCATTAGTAGTTAACAAAAAGTACTGATGTTTAGTAATAATGGCACCGTGAAGAAGCAAAGGTACTCTAATCCTAACACCTTTTTAAAAAATGTCACCATGTCCAGTTATGCTCTACCTGATAATCGTACATCTTACCAATAGTCTTGCAGCATGGGTTCCACTGAAAAAACACTCCACCCTAAAGCTGTCATATCAAAACACTCCTTCATACAGATATTAACATTTTACTTACCTGAAAATGTATTTCCAATAGATAGTCATCTCCAAATACAGATACCTACTTCCTCTTAAGTTTATGCATTCTGCTCAAGAGATTTGCATGCCACCAGCCTTGTGAAAACTCTCATCTAATTTCATGTTTCCGTGTAAATTTGGGTTACATGATGATGTATCATGCATCATAACCCTCTATGAATAAGAGTGTGACACATCTCCATGCGCAAATCCTCCCTCTATATTCGCAAGCAAAAATATTCATTCTCTAACAAGGCAATAAAGATAGGTGCACAAAAATAGTGGAGAGGATTGGAGGAAAAGATATAGGGGAAATGAAGCAACCACTGTCCCCTGCCATGGAATATGAGGGAAGGAAATACTGGTCAGGATGAATGAGAAGGTAAGTGAAGTAATGGAAAAGCAGGAAGAAACAATGGCATAGATATGTGAACAACGGTAACCACAGGCAAGTAGCAAGAGGACTAATGTGTCTAAGAAGAACAGAAACATCTACTAAAAGTTCAACAGGGATGCTGGTAAGAATGTGGAGAACCACAGTGATAAATTAGTCAAGCAAGAAGTAAGAAGAGGGGTCAGTGGATAAGGAAGGGATAAAAAGAGGGTTGAAAAGAGCCAGAGAAAAAATTATCCTGCAACATCAGAAAAGGCAGAAGACAAGCTAAAATACAAAATAAGAACCTCCTATCTTTTCTACTTGCTGATATATTGCTCATGTATTGAATCAAACACAGTGACCCCACTCATCTCTTTCCATTTTTGGAAACACTCCCTTATATACACTTATATCTATGACATATGAATAATCAATTGAAGGTTCAGAATGTTCCCCTAGTGGCTATCTCAGCCATTTTCAAGTATTACGACGCCATCTCATTCTCTTAATACAAAACATAAAGCTGTTGAGTCTTTAGTCTGCTCGAAATTTCATATTTTTT